TTCAATTAAGGATTTAAAATTCTTTGATGATGAAAGATTGGACATGATTATTGTCGGAACAGACGAAAAAGGTGAGGTTCTCGATTCATTCTTATATTTAGTTCTGATGTTTTCTCCTGATTCTATTTGCTGTGTACGGTAGGTGAGGAGATATGTCACTTAACGGAATTAAATTATACGAACTTAAATTTTCTGTCGATTCCTGGACCGCAAAGCGTAGAAAGTATGGGCATATCTGAATGTCTAAACGCCGTCGATCAGGTGCTTGATAAAATGGTAATTGTAAACATTTTTTCCTTTGTTGAAGGCTTTTTTACACTAATCAGTGACTAATTATTATTTTGTTTAAAGAAAAATGATAACTTCACGCCATTTTTTGTTCTGCGATCGCAACATTTAAGAATAATACCATCTCAATTAACCGTAAATGGCGTACGGGATTTGGTATGCGTGCTTAATGAGGATAGAAAAAGAATCATAATGTTTGACACTAATGACAAAGAAGAAATAGAAGATGAAAAGAATGGGGATAATGAAGAAACTAACGAAAGTTCAGAAATGATGGAAGAATAAATTTATTTATGCTATATTAAATTCAATCGAAAAGAATAGTAGTAATTCATGACGATCAAAATCTGTTTCATGCTATGGTGCGAAATTTTCCCTTGGGTTGATCAAATCACTGTTATTAAATATTTCTAAATAAGTTTGGCTTATTAAATATGCCCACGAGAATCAATTTGAATGATATTATATCCATCAACTTTACTCAACGATGCAACAATGTTAACCTTCAGGTTGGGTTCAAAAATACGTGTAAAGAGTCAATGAATAAGGCTCATACATATATTTGGCGTTTTCGCTTTAAATTGATTTATGAAATAAAATAAATCTCATCATTCGAGAATTTATACGCACCACAGATGAAAAGTACAATAACTACAATAATAATAATACTGTATGATTGTCGCCTGAAAATTTCTACTTTATTTTATTTATTTTTTACCAGCCTCAGGTCTTTGATTATTGTAAAATTGCAAACGTATTTATGTTAAATTAATACAAAGCGTGGAAGCTTCATCTAGAGACCAAATAAAATCTTATACATACTTTGAAGACTCGGAAAGATTCAATAATAGAACTCCTGAATCTAACAATATACGATTCTGAGATTGTGATAGAAGAGTAGCAACATCTCGGGCCATCTCAATCTTCCTCAACTCAATGAAACCAGGCTTATTCTTGATTGCTTCACCGATTAATTCTGCAGATATGGCCTCACCTTCCGCTTTAATGATAATTGATTGTTTTTCTTGTTTAGCACGCTCAACAATGAAGAATGCTCTCTGTGCTTCTTGTTGAGCTATCTGTTTGGCCTCTACTGCATGAGTGAATTCTGGTGAAAATGCAACATGAGTAATGGATACATCATCCAATACTATGTTGAA